CTTCTTCTTCTTCTTCTTCTTCTTCTTCTTCTTCTTCTTCTTCTTCTATTATTATTATTATTATTATTATTATTATTATTATTATTATTATTATTATTATTATTATTATATTCTAATTCAATTCTATACAGATAGTCCATGACTTATGACTCAAAATTTCTCTTGTGAAGTGAAACAGTTATTAAGAGAATTTTGCCACCCCTCTACGACATATCTTGCCATAGTTGTTAAGTGAACCACGAGTTTGGCAAATTGTTGAGTTAGTAACACAACTCAACACAGTGGCTCAGTGAATCCGGCTTCCCCGTGGACTTGGCTTCTCAGAAGGTCGCAAAAGGGATCACGTAACCCCAGGACACTGCGACCGTCATAAACACGAGTTAGTGGCCAAGTGCCTGAATTTTGATCCTGTGACCATGGGGATGCTGTAATGGTTGTAAGTGTGAAAAACGGTCATTAGTCCCTTTTTTTCACAATTTTAACAGTTGTAAGTTAAGGGCTAGCTGTATTCTGTAATAATGGTGGAATATGACTGTGGGCTTGACTATCTCTGCTTTCAACATTGGTTTGATATTTTTCATCATACACTTAACATTGCTGCGTATCTTTTACTGAATATCATATGGAATTTGCAGGAAACCTTACAAGAATATTCTGTTTATGTTCTGGTTTCTTTATTAGAAATATTTTCTAGCTGTGCACATTGTCATTCATAGTGGTGGGCATATAAATTTAATAATCAAATAAAAAAGTAAAAAATAAACTGAATGTAACTCCTATAGTTATTTCTAATTGCAGAAAAGACAATGGCTACCAACCTTCCATGGAGGACCTGTATACTGCAGGAGACAAAAAGAGGGCTGTGAAAATATCTACAGACCCCTCACATCCTGGACATAAACTCAACTCCTACCCTCCAAACGATGATATAGAGCCCTGCACACCAGAACAACTAGACACAAGGACAGTTTTTCCCCAGACATCATCACTCTGCTAAACAACTAATTCCCTCTACACTGTCCAGCTATTTACAAAGTCTGCACTACTATTACTATTAATCTTCTCATCACTCCTTATTGCCCATCCCCTCCCACTTGTGTCTGTATGACTGTAATTTTGTCGCTTTTATCCTTACGATCTATACTGACTGTTTCCTAGTATGATTTGATTGCTTATTGTACCCTGTGATTATTATTGTTACACCTGATGATTCTTGACTCTTGATGAATGTATCTTTTCTTTTTATGTACACTGAGAGCATTTGCACCAAGACAGATTCCTTATGTGTCCAACCACACTTGGCCAATAAAGAATTCTATTCTATTCTATTCTATTCTATTCTATTCTATTCTATTCT